AGGTGGGAGCTCGTTAACACACCCCCAAGGCCATCGGGGGGGACCTGCAGGCACAGCTGCCATGGAACCCCCGGCACAGCTCCTATGGAGCCCCATGCAAAGATCCCATGGACCCCCTGGCACAGCTCCCGTGGGACCAGGGGACCCCGGAGCCAGAGCAGCCCCTGCTCCCCCCCAGCCTGGCCCTGTTCTCCCCCTCCAGCCCCACGTGGGGACAGAGCTGGGGACAGGGAGGACTGTCTGAACCCCCACCCCGACCCCAGGGACACCCCGGGGCACATCCACCTTTATTTCCAAGGAATTTATATCTCCAGAGGCACAGCCTGGTCCAGGCTGGCAGGGCACTCCAGGCTCCATGGGCACAGGGGGTTTGACCCCTCAGATGCCCCCGGAGCAGGAGGCTGAAGGGATTCATTTTAGACAGGATTATTCCCTCCCCTCATCCCTCTGTTTTCCAAAGGGCCTGGAGCCCCCAGGGCTCTGCACTCTTGAACCATAAATCCCAGGGACATCACAGAGCTGCTCCCACACTTCCAACTTTTCCATCCATGGCTGGAATTAAACCATCCATGCCTTTGGAGCAGGACCCCCTCACCCCTCCATGCACCCACACATGCAGCAGTGCCCGGCAGCAGCTCAGAGGGGGGGAGGCCATGGGGAGACAAATATTAAATTAATGAGTATTTTTCCCATTACAAACAATCCCTAACTGATGGCAAAGAGGGAGTGGCGAGGCTGGTCCGGGGGGCAGCGGATGGGCAGGAGCCCCCAGCGTGGGCAGAGGGAACATCTGTCCAGAGGCAGCTTTGGAGTACGTGTCAAACCTTCCACATTGTCCTTCATTTCTGATTCCATGACCTAATCCCAGCTGGGAATAACCAGGAACAGAACAGATGGATAATGGTGCTGCCCCACGATCCCAGCCCGGGATGCAGCCGGGACAGGGGGCACAGGGAGCCCCTCAGGGCTCAATATCCAACACAGCCGTGCTCCCCTGAGGCCCAGGACACCTCGGAACTGGATTTTCTTTCTTCAGAATAAACCTGGACGTGTTTTCACTTCCAAATGTCCTCTGGCATTCCTTCAGCTAAACCCTTCTCTGCTCACTTCCAGCCTTTTCCCAAAGGCTGCACTCCACGGGACACCCATTTCAATCCCAAGGGAGACATTCCCATCTTCCACAGCATCTGCGTGGCCAAATTTGCCAGGAGAATGGAATGACGACAGTGCAAACTCCAACCCCTCAGGGCTGGCTCAGGAAGCCCTTCAGGAGCGCTCTGGCATCTTCCCGAAGTCCGACTGAGCACTGATTACATGGAGCAGCAACAAAAATCTGGGAAACCCTTGGAAAACTGAAAACCACTTGGGGATTGCACCCGTGGAGATGCCCCTGCTCCCTGCCACACACGCTGGGCACGGTGCTCCCGGTGTCCCTGGACACGGGGAAATGTCACCAGAGATCACTGAGCCTTGGCCTGGGCCATGGGATGGGGGACAATGAGGGGGGACACCAAGCCTTGTCCTGGCAGACACTGAGTCCTGTCCTGGGGGACATCGGGCCCTGTCTGGGCCATGGGATGGGGGGACTCCAACTCAGACCCCACCTCAAACCACACTGAACCCTAAAACCAGGGAGAAACCTCCTGGTAACTGTCCCTAAACCCATGTGGAATGACAGGGAGTAATCCTGCTCTGTGCCTCCTCCAGGGCTTTGGTCCCCTCCACGTGCAGACCACCAAAAGCTGAAGCTCTGAGACCCCCGGGATCCTTGGAGAGGGGGCAGAGGGAAGCTCTGGGATGCTCTGGGATGCTCCAGCTGCTCTCTCCACCAGGGCTGGCCTCCTCTCCGTGCTGGCTGTCCCTGTCCATCTGTCCGTCCCCATGGCACGGCTGGCACCAGCAGTCACCCCTGGGCTCTGGGAAGCCCTTGGCAGGACGGTGACCAGGATGGGACATGGATTCTCTGGATTACAGCGTCGTGCTGGGAGCAGATGCTCCAACCACACCTGCCCCCCCGGATCCGGGATGCTCCGAGCACCCCTCTGGGATGCTGTTCCGCTCGGAGGCTCGGGGCTCTGCTGTGTAATGCTGCTGCAGCAATATCTGATGCCATTACAAAACCTCTGATCCCTGGGGAGCGTCGGGGGCTCCGAACCGGCGCGCTCCGAGATGGACTTGGCTCCTGGCAGCAGCAACTCTGGAAACATCCTCCTGGACATCCTCCTGGAAACCACGGAGTGCCTGTGGCAGGGCCGGCATCGCCCGCTGAACGTGGGGTGCGGGTCCCGCAGGTCCCTCCCGACTTTGTTCTGCTCCAGGTGTGGGAATCCTGATCCAGGCGGGAACACCGAGCACTGGGTGGGTGAGCAGGTCTGTGTGAATGTCACCTTCCAGCAGGACAGGGGAGGAGCCACTGAACGCTTCTGGACGAGGTTTGAGGGTTCCTGATGTGGAAAAGCCCAAC